GAGAGTGCATGCCATCTTTCTGATGTGTGGAAACATCCCCACTTGCCCATGAAAGTAATTGTAATATGCACACTCCAGTATTTTTAGTGCCTAAAGCTCCTAGAAGTGTTTCTTGAGTGTTTTGTCATTATATAAACTGAATGAAACAGTACTTTGAGTCTACAAATTCATTTTAGGAGGCAGCCAGGTAGTACAGATGAGCAAATGCATGCAGACACTCCTGTAGGCTGACCAATTACATGTGTGAGCTGCAATTGCACTAGTGTGGAAGGGTGGTTGGAGGGAAAATTGGGCCCTGTAGATATCTGGCTGAGTAAACAGCTTGAGGAAGGATGGCAAACATGTTAGTCTGAGTAAAATACAGCTAAGCTAAACTGATAAAAAAAAACCAGGTCAGAATTTGTATCAGTTACAGCACACTCTTTGTATATCCTCTAGTTTCACTGTATTTTTCTCATTAGACTTCCCATCTCGAAAACATTCTCTTCGCTGAAGGATTAGTTTAAGAACTAATAGCATGTGCAGCTTTCTATGCAGTAAACCATAAAAATGTATTTCAGTTGCACAGAGATGAACATAAAATTAACTGGATGGGAATAGAATTTAGAACTGCTGAGGAATAACAACTCTGTCAAGCCCAGGTAGTAATTTATTCCCAGATACAGCATGATCTTGCTGGTTAGGATATGCTTCATAACCTCAGTTTTATACCATGACTTTCCTGTAGCTGTGGCCAAAATCCCCCCAGATCCACTGTATGTTGCCTGCCATGTGGGTGAAGCGCTCCTTTTTTTTTGTAAATACAAAGTGTAAGAAGGGTAAGTGCAGACAATGCAGGAATTTGAGCCCTATAAAGGTGGAATTTGATAATTTGTTTTGGTAGCTAATGGATGCTTAACTCACTAGGTTAGACAGCAGGTCTGGGACTTAGAAGATCTGCCTTCAGTTCTCTGTGTGACCTCTGGTTCTTTCGGCAAAGACATCTGGGTTTCTGGAGTGGGAGTTGTGTAAATCCGCAGGGCCAAAGGTGTATTATCCAGGTCCCACAAACCTGGATAATCCACTTCAGAAGGAACAGCCATATCCCGCAGGTCAGATAAGGAATTTGGGCTTCCTGACATCCAGCGGTGCATAGATGACTGGAAAACATGTGTTTTTCAGCTCATCTTGATAAACTTTTTGGATACACCGATGACCAAGGAGAAAGATCATATAAGAAACTGCATTTAGTTTTCTACCTTTGAATTTGGATTAAAGGATAACAGATGAGTATGCCTTAGGTGATCACATTGAGATAAATTTATTTTGTTTTTTCAAATGTTCAAGTTTTATGCATATGCCTTCATTATAGAAACTACTTGTAGGGAAATTGAAAATACCTTTCTGCATCCAATTTGGATCTTTTCTACACAGCTGCATATTCAGGGCATATTTCTACAAAACCCCATACATGCAGCATGTGTATGGATGGGGGAAAATTCTGGTTATTTGTTACTAACATCATGGACAGGAAGTTTTAATTGTAAGCTTCTTCACTCACAACATCTTCAGCATCATCAGCTGTTCAGCTTTATGTCAAGTGTTTTTAATCTTGGCGCTGAAAAATCAGGATATGGTTTCTTTGTTCTTCTGCTTTAATACTCACAGAACAAATCAACCAAGTTTACTTTTTCTTAGACTAGTCAAATAATCTCATATCCTGATAACTGAATATTCTGAGAGTGGCAAATGCCTTTTCCACCAGTACAAGTGTGTTGATTGGGTGGTTGGTTTGGGTTTTTCTGTTTTGGTTTTTGTTTGATTGTTTTTCTTTTGGTTTTTCAGTTTTGTTTGGGCTTTTTGGTTTTTGTTGTTTGTTTTGGGTTTTTTGTTTGTTTTTTCCTGCATCTTGAAGAGTCAGGAACTTTGTTTGAGGAATAAAGCATGGACTTTTAACCCAACATAGTTTTCAGGTCGATGAAGTTACAGCACTGCAGCCACAGCACAGCAGGCAGAGATGGGGATGCTGGGTGTCTCTGCAACCCTTCTTTCTTCTTGCTTGCTCTTTTTGTATGAACAGAGAGATCTAGCACCATCCTTATGCCTCAGAAGAATCTCCTTGTGAATAGGAAAGGAGGGCCTTATAAAGTCATGGAAATAAAATTTTTGTTACCAACACAGAGGAAGCAGTTAGAAATTATTCTACCTGTAGGAAGCTTGGGCACTGGCCTACTTCCACAGGTGAGATAACCTGAACACTATTTTTTCTCTGACAGACTCTTTAGGCTTCTTTCAAGTCAAAGACCTCAGGTATTGTCACTTGAAACAAATGCTTGATGTCAGGTGGAACTCAAGCACTCCACTTTTTGTCATCTTCCAGTTAAACAATGGCTTGCCCCATACCAAAAGACAAGCAAGAATTGATAACTGAAGGATTGTACAATCCCTGCTAAAGGACCTGCTCTGTGGAAAGATTCACATAAAATCTAAACTGTAAAACCCTAACAAATTTTTGCTGATGTTCTACTGAGCAGCTAAATGCAGAATTCCTACAGGGTCAACTTAATAACCTCTATAGCTTCTCAGAAGAAGATAAAGGAGAAGGATTGTGACCATGTGATTGTGACACCTTTGCAATGAGAACTGACAACTAATCAGGAGTCTCAGCAGCATTGTGTCTGAGTACCTGCTGCATAAACACAGCTTTACTTGCACTTCTCCAGGGTAAATATATACCTGGACCTCAGTAAGTGAATATGAGGAGATGCATACACTGAATTAAGTAAATAATTTTCCAGGACCTGATTTATGACTGTTCAATGAAAACAGTGTATGCTTGTGAACATTTAATTTTGTCCTGATTAGCTCAGGTTTTAAAGTATATACAATTGAACTATTTCATTAGAAAATGGCAGCTTAAATTGGGCTTTTTTACAAGAAAATGATTGGTTTTGAAGAATTTTTCAACAGTGTTTTTCATTTTTTTGAATCAATGCCATTTGTCTTCATTTTCTCACTCAAAGTGACTTTCTGTTCAGTGTTTTATGAGATCTCAGTTTAGGCACACAAGCTCTGCTGTTGGCAAAGTGGTACTAAAATGACATTTTTGCAACCCACAGACCTCGAGTTGCCAAAAGCAATTATTTTCAGAAGGTCTGAAACCATGCTTGTGTTATTTCAGTAAGCCTTTATCTTCACCATCACTAATACTCCCTGTCTGCTTATTAGTTTGTTCCTGGTGATGCTGCGTGGGGCATGAAAGTCAATGCTTTGTGCCGCAGTGTAGGCTTGTGTTGTTAACAGAAGGCCACAATGAAATACACTGAAACTGTTTATATATGAAAGCTATCCATAGGTAAAAGCAGTGATGTTTTTGTCACTATGTACTAGCATTTTTGGTGAAAAAAAAAAGTCTCTCATTTGGTCTCATTATCCTTTCTGCTGTCATCAGTTCAGCTGGTTTTATTCTGTTAAGCACAATTTCTTGGAGCTTCCCCATGGAATTGCTGAGTTACAAACAGGTGCATCCGGCTGGAACACACAATGCACGCTTCCCAAGTCTTCCTGTAAATTCTGTATAGAACTCACTTTTCAAAAACTAGACATTTCAAGTCTGTCAAAACTGCAGATACTTCAGAAGATGGAGAACTGAAGGAATTGTTGAACTTCACCCACAGTCATGTCCAACTGATAGATTTCTTACCTGCATGCCTTTGTCAGGCAAGCAAAAATTACTCCTTCTGTGAATGTATTAGCCAGCCAAGTTGATATCCCTCGACATCAGAGAAGAGTTTTTTCATTAAAATGTAGATATTGTTTTCTGAAAAATTAAGTCAAATGCAATTGAACAGCCAGAGATTAATGCTACGTCTGTGTCACTCTCTAGATGTCCTATTTTAACTTAGAAAAAGAACTGTGAAAAATTAATTCCACAGTTGAAAGTAGCGTGCATGTATGGATGAGCATGGGTGCTTTGACAGTTTTGGAGAGGTCTGAACAAAATGACTGTGGTTACTAGCACATTTTGAATTAGTCTGAAAAGCAGATGATACAGAATAGTATTTAGTTGAAACAGTTATCTCAACTGCATCTCTTGTTTGAGAAAGTTAACAATGGTAAATTTTCTGATAGCAATTTGTGGCTGATTCTGATAAAGGATTTAGGAAAAAAGTTATGTGCATGGATGGAAGAGCAATTTGTTTTCTCAGACAGGCAGTAAACAACAATGTATTTCCTAAAAGGGGGTGGAGGGAAAAGTATTTTGTCCGCATCTAGGAGAGTATTGATGAGGTTCCTTATCAGTGTTAGGTCTAGAAAAGGTTTTGGCAAACATGCCTTAAATGCACTTTCAGTTATATATTATAATTCCTGAAGTTTATGAATATGAAGATCTATGTTGTAGTACAGTAGTTGTGTACAAAACCAGTGTTATGTAACATGAGCTGTATTTATTTATCATGTAAAATGGATGGCAAATAAGCACTGTTAAATTAGTTTGTGAGGAGGATAGCAACTGTGGGTCTGCTTGTTTGGTGAGCTCTTTGCTGGATATGCTCTCTGTATCCAAACATCTTGTGCAGTTATTTCACCAAGGCCAATGGGCTTTTGAAGGTAAGGATCTATACCATGAACTAAATATGTTTTGATTATTGTCAGCCAGAGGAGCTGGCTAGGTGGTTGGAATTGATTAACTCAATATGTCTGTTACATCTTTAGAATTTTAAGTTGCTTAGATGAATTGAGCCACATTATTATATGAAGTTCTTTTGGGAACAAGCTTTAAAAAATTGACACTGCTGAGACTCTGCAGCCATTTTCAGACAGATAATAATTTTCCCAGATATGAACTGAGTCAAATTTTATGCTTCTTTCCATTTACACAGGGCTTGCTATTCTCTGTTCTGTGCTCATTGGGGTATGGAAAGATGATGAACTGAAAGAAATTGAGCTAGCTTCTTCTAGTGCCGCACCACTGAGCTCCTTTTGGACTTCTAATTCACCATGTTTGCTCTTTCCTATAGGTCTGCAGTATCTCATGTGGCAGCAGAAGATTTATCAGTTTGTTGGACTTCATGGTCTGCCCACAACGCTAAACTTTATCTGTTAAAACTGGACAAAACACATGAATATGAAAAAAATACCCAAACAACAAAGTAGGCCAAAACTTCAATCAGGTCACAATAGTATCAGGCATTCAGCACATAATGGATGGTGTGGAAAGATGTCTGGGGTAAAATCAGAGGAAACTCAGAAGTTATATTCAAAACCTAACAAATTATAATGGTACAGAAATTACTGGGTAAAATGCAGCTGCTACTTCCTGGATGGAATACAGTTGGCAGCTCTGCAGTGACTCCCCATACAACAGTAAACACCTGCTAAGGGGGATGGAACGGAGAGTGGAGCACTGTGGAGACACTGCGGCCAGGCTCTAGAAATCCTTGCAGGGCAGGGGACTCAACGGTACTTTGCAGATGATAAACTGCACAGCACCTGTCACCAAGGGAGACGGGAGAAGATATCCTGCTGCTGAGCCCGCAATTGTGGTGAAATCTATCTCCTCAGGTCAACTTCATTAAAGCTTCATTATAATATTAGCACACACCTCCATCCCAAAGGTACCCACCTCCAAGGTGTGATCACCCCACACTGGGCACGTGGCCTGTATTTTTTTGACTTTATCTTTAAAAATGAAGCAAGAGAATTTTAAACCAATCAGTAATGAAGGTATTTATGACTCAAGTCACTCAAGCTTCACGTAAATATAAAGAAATATATAAAAGTAAGTTGAGATTGGGGGAAAAGTTAGGGGAGTCTCCACTGTAACTGCTGGGATCAGTCGATGGGCTGAACCTGTCTTCTCCCCCATAGGGACACCTGTTGGATAAGCACCATACTGTATGCACACTGAATACCTTTACTGGGGATCAAAGCTTCTCTGTGTATTGTTTTGAATATGTTTTTGCAATCGGATACTATCACTGGCAACCCTCAAACCTTAACCTGTCACAATTTTATTTTAATAAAGAGTGTTATTCTGTAAACTGTTATGTGAGTCCTTCATGGGTTTTGGTAATCACTGGCAATGGATAACATACTTTAACAGTGGGAAGACCCACTGTGAGGTCACAAAGTGGGAAGACCTGCTGAGGGGTCTCCCTAATGCTGTTGGTGTATTTCCCTGAGTAAGTCAGTGAAATTGCACTCCGATCAGGCAGGACTGTTCAGTGAGAGGTTCCCACAAGGCTTTCCAGAGGCACTGGCAGACAAATCAAACACTAACAGTCAAGGAAGTCTACTCATTTTCATGTGACAGATGGGTACCTAAATCACATGCCTATAGTTACAGGGTTACTGATAACTACTCAGTCCAGCTAGTGCTTTTGTTGGGAGAAGTCAACCCTCCCCTCTTGCATGAGACAGATATCTGTTTGAGGTCCAATTATGTGGCACCAAAACTCCAGGCAAAATACATCTGCATTGACCCATGTGCATCTGGCTTGCCTACCATGGGGTACAGCCTGAGGAGTAAGCTGAAGTGCTCTCTGTTAGGACAGCACCAATCTACCAGAACTGAGCAGGAGGGAATGTTAAATAGAAGATCATGGCTGATGCAGTCCTTCTAACAATTGGATAGACCCTTCAGCAGAAAAAGACCTGCTAGGAAATTGCAGGTCTTATGTCAACATCTTAAATCTACAGAGATTACTTCTATAGCCCCTGTACGGGACTCATAGGGGTGATCCATTGGATGACCAAAGAGAAATCAACCTTATGCCAAGGAAGGTATATGCTCAGTTCCTGACTAGCACAACCTCTGTGACTCACAGTGCTGAACATACTGCTGAACAATGTTTAAAAGCTTCCCGTGCTTCCTGCCTTCCTGCCGCTCAGAACTCATTCAGCTACTGCATTACATTTCTCACAGAACGATGCCGGGCCTGACTCAACCTGGTGCTGTGTGAAGTCAGAAGTCTTGCCTAGTGTCTGGAGGGGATTACGATTACTGCCAACACAAAATAAGGAGGATCCCTTTTGCTGGAAGAATGCTGTCAAAAGAAAATTGATCTGTCTTGGGCAGTTAACAGGAAATAAAGTTCCTACATCTTTCACATAGGAATTTTTCTTCTAGTCCTGGCCTATTCTTCACCTTTTCTCACTTTTCTTGTGCAATATAACCAAGTGAAATCAATTTTGCCACAATGCCAAACACAACATACCGCTTCTCCCTGCCTCTTTACAAGAAAAATGGGCTTTCAGACTGTGAACTGGGGGAAGATTTGAAAGACTATGAAAATGCTCATCATGGGGAAATCATTACCATTACTACCTGAGCAGCCATGTGGAGTGAAGATAACCACAAGTCTTACTCAGAGATAAGCCAGTAGGTACACTGATACCCCTGGCTTATTCTCAGAGACACAGACACATGATGCCCCCAAAACCAAGGAGACTGTTATTTGTGCCTCATGTCTAATAACAAACCCTTTTATGTCATTCCAGCAAAAACATTGAAATGAAATACATACACTAAATACAATTTTTTTTTAAGAAATCAACTGGAACAGTGTCTTTCCCTTTCTTTGCCTTTTGTTTTCTCAGGAATTTTGTTTCATCAAGTAAAACCAGTGGAGGCCATTATTTTCTGCTCCATCTACGCCTTATGGAGGCATGTACTCCTCCCTTAATAGAAATGAAAAGTCCTGGTGCCATAAAGGATGTCTCTGTGTGAGTTTATTTGAATGGGTTTCACAGGTGCCAATGACAATAGATGAAAACATTTACCAGAAAACAGCAGGAGAAACAGGAAAAGTACTTGCTGAGGAGCAGCGTGACCTGTGGTTAGCTGTTTGTTATTGACGATTTGGCTCCAGTAATGGCTGGGTAAATAAAAAGTTTTCTAGGAGATATGAGCCGTGATTTGTGTCTGCTCACAGGCCTATTGACCATCACAGAAAGGGAATTACCAACACTGGAATAGTCTCTACATACCATGGATAGCCTCAGGACCTAGGCTGTCTCCATCCACTAGTGAAAAAATTGCTGCTCTAGACTTACAGTAACAAAGGGAGTTTTTCAGAATCACTGATTTTTTTTCCTTCAAAAGACAATCAAAGGCTTTTCTAATAGTGGGTAAAACCAAGAAGATTTCAAGATCATCCCACTATCTGAACATTGATCTTCTTCTCTGTGATTGCTTAAATTTACAATAGTAGTTTGGGTCTCTCTGTGCCAGCACTGCTTATCATTCAGAGCAACATACTGTGTGTTCTTTGTTTGAGCCTCTCTATTGGTAGGTGTTGGGACCTCCTGGAAATAAATTAAAGCATTGCTGAAGGCTCATGATGACTTCCTTTCTGGATATAAAATGGAAATGTCCTGTTGAGTAGAGTCAAAAGCTGAGCGAGCCTGGGGAAAACAAACCTTATAAAAATCTAAGCCCATGGAAAAAAAGTCAGATTGTCAAGTATTTTTTTAATGTGTTAAGAAGACAGTAGCTAGAAGTGGTTGAACTTGATTACATTTTATTTATTTTAAATATGAACCAGATTTTTGTTCTACCAAATTTTATATTTTCTTGTCTTCTTTTTTTTCTTTGAAAATACATAAAAATATGCTTAGCCATTAAAAAATTGGGTCAAATTCACTTCAAAAATTCAAGATACTCCAGATAAAAAAACTCCACCCTTCTACCAATATGGAAATTTGAATAATCTTGAAATTCTTTGCTATTATGTCACAAGCAATACCATCTGCCTTCTTCAGAAATCTTTTTCTGAAAGGAAAAAGATGTCATCTGAAAAAATTTGTGCAATTACATGTTTCTCTCTATGTGTGGTATGACTGAATCTTTGAGTAGCATAAGAAATTAGATCTCTTTCCAGATAGTAGCCTTTAAAAAAAATCCCATCTGCAAACCAGACATGGCTGAGGGAAGGGCAGACCTCCCAGCAGTCAGGAGAAGGCATGGGAGCAGCATGTGTATGGGAAGCACAAACTGACCAGTGCTGCAGACTTTGTTTTTCTGGGTGCCAGAAATCCCCATTCTGTCCTCAGCTAATGCCAGAAGGCAACAGGCAGCAACAGAAGGGAGGCTCATCATTAACTCTGTATTTCCTGGATACACAAAAGTGAATATCCATGTGGTGCTTGTGCCTACAAGGAGACGCATAGTCTTCCTGAAACTTCAGGAACTGCATTCCTTTGGGATGGAGGAGCAACTCCACTGGTCACTGAGGACTTGGTAGAAGAGGATACTGCAAGATTGGATCTGCTGTGGTCTAGACATCTGAGAGCAGCTTGAGATCTCTCAGCTAGCTACAGTGTGATAAAACTTTTATCCTCTTTTAAGCACAGTGACCTGGCTCATGATTACCTAAAGTGTGGGCTTGCACTACCAGCCGTCACGGTGCTGCTGGGGATTTGTGAAAGGCAGATTAGTGGCTGCAGCAGTTGGTTTCTTCACCTGTGATCATGCTCCAGTGGTGGGAGACTACAGAAAATCCACCTGTTCATATTAGTCCCATTTTTCCATTTTTCCTTGTGCGGGCAAGTAGGTTTGTTAGCTGAGGTTAGGGATTATGTGTGAAAGTGAGTGGTGCCACCCTTCTTCTCCAGGGTTTGTCTCACACCCACAGTGGGCCACTGTGAAATGATGAGCCTGTTAGTGAAGGCCATGCGAAAGATTCCACCTCAGGACATCTGCCTGTACATTGCCTGCCAAAAACTGGATAAAACTCTGCCGCTAGTGCTCCCCATATGTAATAACGTTTAGCACAAAGCCAGGCTGTTTGACCAGCATGTAGGAGACAGAGTGCACCTCCTGTGCACTCTAAATGAGCTGAACCATCCCACAACATCTGAGCATGGACAGATTTTCCAATATTCAAAAATTTTCTCAGGTCTCTATTGGTCATTGTGACCTAGCTGAAATGAAAAAGAAACACCCTCATCTATTGTACAGAGCTCTTGTAGAAAAAGACTTATATAAATTTAGGGGACTGGTATGTCCAAAGTCCCTATTAATTCTTTGTCTGACTCGTTTTGATGCTGGCCTCATTCATGTAGTTAAAACAACTGAGAAACTGAGGTAGGAAGCCTACCTCAATGGAACACATGGAGAAGAGAAAACAGTTTTAAGCTTTTAATGTACTTGGTGTTGCTACAGAGCTTTTCTGTTGTCAGAGTTCTAGACTTGCTCAGAAAGTCATTTCATTGGGTGCTGTCAGTTTCAGACCTAAAAAAGGGGACCATGAATGCCAGCTCTGACCAGTTAGCTGAAGGGCTCTCAGCTGCAAGAATTATTAACTCAGGAGCTGACCTTCAGAGAGGGGGAAAACAAAAAAGAAAACTTAGTCGTTGTTGTTTTAATATGATAATTTTAGAGATAAAAATACTGGAATTTGGAGGGGTGGTTATGTTTTGTTTTGTTTTTTGTTAAAGAGGGACTTGTAGCTAAAGCACATATAGAATCTGCAATGCAGCAGTAAAACTGATGTTGATCTCTTCAGACAGGACTAGCATACCCTGTTCTTTCTGTATATCCCCTTTAATGAGAGTCAGGGTTTATTGATTTCCTCTACGTACTTATATAGGTACTTTTCCTTTTCTGCACCTTAAAACAAAGACAGAGACTTACTTGTTCTTCTAAGCCTGTCCTTCCTTCAGGGAATCACAAATTTTCCATCAGGGAAAAAGTCTTCCATGGAAAACCTTGCAGGAAAAATGCCTCCTTCCCTTGCTGATGGTAGGTAGAAGAAGCAGATGACCCAAACCCGTGGGGCAGGAGGGAGCCGTGATTGAAATAGTTCCCTGCCCACTCACCTCCCACTTCCCAGCTAGATCATCCAGACCAGAGGAGATCAGAAGCATACACGGAAAAGGAGGGGGGAAACGTCGGTGGCACTGAAATCCTAACCGCAGTCCCCTCCCCACTCCTGCCGTAGGACTTACCAGCCTTCCTAGTTGTTGTTAAAGGCCGATTGCAAAGAGTTAAACTGTTTCCATATGTCCAGTTCCAGAGT